ATATATATATATATATAGCTTCTATATATATATATAAATTCGTTTATGGTTCATATTTTTTATTTATAAATTATAATTGTCTTAACACTTAACATCGAGTTATTCCATCGATTTGGAATATAAAGTATGAATTAATTGTTTTTTTAAGAGTTAAAATATGGGAGTGTACAGTTACTTTATTTCTTAATTGTTCAATTCTATTATAGTAGAACTGATAGAAAAAAAAGGACTGGGTGTAACCCTACAATTTTGATACGAATAAATAGAAACTAGTTATATGTTTTGTGGGATAAACATAAATACAATATATACAAAGGTAATAAACATATTTTTTTAAAAATAAAATATTAATTCCTTAAAATAAAACTTGAAAATAAGTATTTTCAAAGCATTAGTAAATATTAGTATAAACATATTCTTTGGTAGTTTTAATTATGAATATTATAACCGTTTGAAAATATGTTTGTTATTTGTATGATTTGATAAGAAAATATGATTAAATATAAGAGAGCATTTTTATTTTAAATTGTTTCTGTAAATTGTAGATGGCAGCAGCAGAAGAGAAATTTTAAATAAGCCTTAAAATAAACTATTCATTTCCTGAAAACATTTTCTTTTATCAAAACATTATGTTTCATTACTATAGTTACTAATATGTCATTACTAATACATCATTACTTATGATTTTTTTTTAGTTTATATGAAAATCGCATGAGGTCACACAATTCGAAGTTTTTTTTTATACTCAATAAAAAAGATACTCTAATAATTTGTTTTATTTATTAACCAAATCGAAAGCCTAAAAAAATTATTCTGGGATAAATTGAAAGGTTCGGTCATTTTTTTTGGCCGGAATTTATGTATTTTCACTATAAGTTTCAATTAGATAATTTTGAATTGCAAATTCTACTTAACTCTTTCACTGAAATGCTATAAACATTGATATAAAGAGGAAATGCCCTGGAGGAGTTTGTCCCTTTATAATGTAAATACTGGTCTCACGATTCCGATGTGTTTCGGTGCTGTTTTCCTTTTTCTTCATCCTTCTTATTTTTTTTTTAGTGTCAGGCTTATTTTACTTTACATTTATATCCCCTGTTTATATAAAATATCCAATACTAAAGAAAATAAAATCCAATAGTAAAAAATCAGTTTTTTCAGAAAATTTAAACGATTGAATACAAATAAAAACTAAATAGATGTTTTTTTTAATTAAAATATAATTTTTGCCTTTTAATTAAATAAGTAGAGTAAGAAAATTTATTTGTAATTTAATAATTTTTTTAATGTCTCCAACTGAATTTC